GTCGACTCCTCCAAGGAGGAGAGACAAACACTTAGCAAATTTCAAGGAATTTGCTAAGACGACGACCCCAAGGGGTAAGGTAAACGTTGACTCCTCCACGGAGGAGAGATGAATAATTTTACAAAATTTACAAAGACAAAGACCCCAAGGGGTAAGATAAAAAACACAACAGAAAACCAAAGAGCAGTTAAATATTGTCTTGAAATATATATATATATATATATATAGGGATTATAGATCAAATTGCAGAAACTAAACTAAGTATCACCGCCTTCACCAGCAGCGTGGTCACCTGCTGCTACCCTATTGCTGCCCTCGCCACCTGTATCTTCAGAAGAAGGGCCTTCGTCGTTAGAAGGAGGCTCGTAGAGAAACTCCAAGTTAAGGCCGGGGATATGCTTGTTAATTCTGGCAATAAGTTGCTACCCCACAGATTCCATATCCTTGGTACGCATATCCAAAAACTCGTCTGAGGATTTGAAATCCTCGACGGCTTTGGCAGCAGACTTGGAATTCCTCTGAGCAAAGTCTGCGGAGGCTATGAACTCTTCGACCCCCACCTTCTTCCCTTCCTGCCTGCCAAGGTCGAAAGCCTCCCTACGCAGGGCCTCTTTGTATCGGCAGCCTCTTTACGGACACAAGCAATCTCCTCCTGGGCGACCTTTAAATCAGCTGTCGCCATTCGTAGCTCTTCAGTAACACGACCAAGCTTGTCAGAAGCCTCCTTCTTATCATCCCTCGCCTTCTTAAGAAGAGTCTTCAAGCGCTATTTAGTACGATCCATCGCCTGGCTCCTCTCATCCATCTTAACCATCTCAAGATAATTAAGGAGGGAAAGGATGAGGGACTGTCAGAAACAAAGAAGTTAGAAAAAGATGCCTACACAAATACAACCTACTTTACTTAGCTGAAAGGAACTTACATGTATCTGGAGGGAGATCTGCCGACGGGTACGATCGAGCAAGGAGAGACGGCGAGCGTTGTCCTAATCTGGCTCAAAGAAGAACTCGTACATGGCCTGGAAGAGGAGAGAGAAACGTGGGGGCAATTCATCGCAGCATCTACTTGGCCCCAAGAAACGTCGGTTACTATGAAGTTTGGGTCAAAGACCCTCACCCTAGGAAGTAACACGGTCTCTTCCCCTGGAAGGGCCTCAGAACCCTCAGGAGCATCGGTAGTATCAATTACTGGTAGGGATTCAGTGCCCGCGGTAGGGATTTCCTCATGACGAGGCCTCTTTCGCCTCGGCGTCTCCTGAGAAGAGGGTTCCTCGACCCGTTGCCTCCGCAAAATGACGTCACCAGCTTCGCTTGACAAATCCTGAGTCTTCTTTTTCTTTGAACACCTCTTATCTCCTGGGACGCGCAAGCCAAGGATCTTCATCTCTGCAACAGGCAAAGGCTAAGTAAAAAAAAACAAAAAAGCATACCGCCGGCAGTAAAATGAAAAAACTCCTTGACGGCGTTAGTATCGTCCAAGTCAGGGAGAGTTAGTAGGAGACCGGTTTGCTCTAAGTTCTCCTGCGTCAGAAGGGTTCTGATATGACGCTCGTCCTCTGAATAGTTGAAAGCCTCCTCAATCCGGGCGAGCCTATTGCCCGCAAGCTGGGGACGATCTTGAGAGACTGCACAAGAAACTAGGGTCAGCGATATAACATAACGACGAGAGGAAAGGCGGTCGAGGATATGTACCAAGCATCCTGAAAGACCTTTTTACCCCTTTTCTTTTAAAGGGCCTGTCCCCAGGATGGACATCAAACATGCCCTTGACCAGGAAGAACATGGGCTTCCACCCATGAGACGAAGACGGTAGCCCCTTTATTAGCCTTCCAAATCTGGGCTCCGACTGCCCATAGCTACCCAGGAAGTACCATCCCTCACACTTGGGGACTTGGTAAAGTTTATATAGGAACATAAATTCGTCCAGAGGCAACTCTACCTCGAACTTTTTTCTCCAAAGTACCCATATACTGGCAAAAATGTACTAGAAATTTGGCGCCAGTTGTGTGGGGGATACACCGTGGAGTTCGCAAAAGTCTTTCATGAACGGATGAACATGGAGGGTCATCCCCGCAGTGAAAGCCCGGGTATATACCGATAGATACCCTGGGGGAGGCTGACTTGCCCTATGATTAGGGTCTGGCAGGAGGAACTCGAACCAGCAACCATCCACGCACCCATTTTGGTATGCGTGGAGGATGTCCCTATCACAGGTCTTTGGTTCCACGAAGTCGGCTGTAAACCACAGTCGATCCTTGTCTAGCCCAACTGAGGTGACCGGGACGTTTGTGTCCCTACCACTAATTCCAAAGGCGGAGCCCCCGATCAGGGAACCCCCAGAAGATGAAGCCTTGGCGGTACCTCCCTCGCCATCCTCGTCGACCATCCGGTCAATGCTATCTTCGTCGTCCCTCAGGTTTAGGACGTAGTCTTCGACATCCCTTAAGAGGGGGTCGCTGGCGGTATGAATGGAGGGAGACTCCGCAGCTGGGGACGGATTTGGCCTTATGACAAGAACGCCCCTTCGACGTAGTCTTCTTCTAGGTGCCATTACTGTGAAGAAAAAACCTAAGGTCAGTCCTATCAGTCGAAGGGAAGGGAAATTAGTTTTAGGTCCTGGTTAGTTCGGCTAGGAACTAGAACGACGACCATTTAACTAAGCCGTCGACTATTCAACTAAAGACACCGACCGATTCAAACACAATGGTGACTATTCAAGATGAGCCCAGAATCATTGAACAGACCCGAGACTGCCCAAAACCCCCAATGGTTACTCAAAAACTGTGAATAAAGGTCAGAATGATTTCTAAATACTCCTATCATACCAAGTTTTCAGCCATTCCCTCCTATTCAGAGAATCTACCAGGAACCAGGAAAGCATAAACGTAATAAGAACAGGAGGAACGAGCAGGAAATACTTACCAGAGGTTTGAAAACGAGATGAAGGCGCGAGCTCGGGAAGAAACTTCGCTGAGGAACGCGACGAGTCTTGGGAAGATTTACACAGAGTCTCGACAAAGCAGAAGAAGTTTGGGGAAGTTTGGGCCTATCGAGCACCTATAAATGAACCGGCATTCAAACCCCAGCCGTTCGATCATACGCAAGCACATCCAACGGCGGGGGCATAAGGCCTGGATCCCACGATTAGGGCGAAAGCGGGAAACTGAGAGGATCCTTATCCAACGGCCCAAGTTCATCCAAGTTAAAAGGTTGGCTACGTCAGCGCGGTAGTTGGACCGACGGGACGTTTACATTTCTTGAGGTGACAGTGCCATCATGACATAGGTTCGGAGTTAGGCTTCCGCACCCGAGGCAGACAAAATGAAGCACCAGGGCAAGGTCCCAGCCTAGCTCGAGGCAATCCACAGGAAAGCCTTGACCTGGGGGGCATATGTTGTACCAGAAAATACGCTTTGGACATGTCGGCCAACAAAGGCACGCCACGTGGCCCCACAGTGGTTACGTGGACATGGGCGTCGACTGTTTGGGCCGCCGACCCCATTAACCCTCGACGTCTACAAGGCTCGTCCGAGAAGAAGATCTGACTTTATGCTATGCGCCTAGACTCTGTCGCAACGGTACAGCGCCGATCGTATAAACGTGAGACCTCCGAGGTGTCTGCAGTGCAGGCATTAATTACAAACCCTTAAATCGCCCTGCAGTGGGTGGCAAGAGATTACATGAATTCATATAGCTGTAATAGAAGACCTAGTGGCTGAGTGAACAGTCAAAAAGTGATTAGTGGGCTATGGTTTAGCCTAGAAAGTAGGCCACTCGAGTACTTCCACCTACGAAGAAAAACCACCCACGAAGGAAGCTCGGGCTATAAAAAGGGCAAAGCCCCATACGTGAAAGGGAGAGGACTCTGGGAAAAAGGCATGAGAAGAGAGAGAGAGGGTGCATGTAAATTGTAAAGAGTCCAAAATAAATATACCCTACTCAAGTGGATGTAGCCCTTCATTAACAGGGTGAACCACTATAAATCCCGTGTGTTCCCTTATTTAAGTGTTACATTCATGTTCAGAAAACACTTCATAGCATAAATTCAAATATACAGTTAATTTATAGCTGGTAACCCAACGGAATACCAGAGGGTCATCCGACGTATTTCTGTTGACGAAATTTGACCATCAACAAACGGTATAATTTTTAAATATGAGCAATTTTGTGTTATACACTATAAAATTTTAGCATGAACATTCATAAATCATACCATTAAATAACTATTTAATTATTAAAACAATTGCTTTTACTGATGATGGAAAAAAACAGTTATCACTGATTCTAATCAAACGGTAAATATAATTATGACCTATGGGTAGTCCTAAAAAGGGAACAAATATGGTTTAAATTTTGTTACTCGTAAATTTTACACTATTAATAGCGTAATTTTACAAATCTTATATGAGTTTTAGCTGTTAAAAAATTAACGGTGTGATTTTTGAATATGAGCAATTTTGTGTCATACACAATAAAATTTTAGCATGGACATTCATAAATCAAACTATTAAATAATTATTTAATTGTTAAAACAATTGTTTAAAACAGTTATCAAATTCCATATTAATTTTTTAAGAAGCCTAACATCAATGAATAAAACTACATGAAATTATGTGTTAATCAATCTAAAAATGAATAAAACTACAAGACATTATGTGTTGGTCAATCTAAAAATTAATACGGAAATTTGTGATTGAATGAAAAGGCATTGTAAATAAATATAAAAATATTTATTATGTTTTATAAAATACAAAAAAATAAGAGAGATTCTCATGTGCACTTAGTATATTAATAAGTTAAATTTTTTTAATCATTAAATTTATATATTTTTTTTATTTTTATATAATTTTATATAAATTTAATAAATAAAAAACTTTATCTATTAATATATTACAAATCTCAATAAATTAAATACACAATATTTATAGACATATCGATCACAAACTCTCTTCAAATTTCGGAGCATATAAAATGAATAAAATATCAAAGATTCACAACGTGTTATGCGCATCACCAACCCAAATTGTGAGTGCTCTACAGCTAGAGAAGCGAGCGAATCCTGTTTGACATTACATCACTGCCCCCCCTCCGGTCTACCTCCAACACGTCCATTTCACCTCCCATAATAAACTCCTTCAAACTTTAAAACCCCTCTCCCTCTCTCTCCCCTCCAAACACACATCACAATCCTCAATTCAAAAACACAAAAAAAAATAAAAAAAAAATGTCCAACTTCATTAACCACCTCTGTTTTCTCCTCCTCCTCTCCACCACCACCACCACCACCACCAAAAACGTTGTCGTCTCCGCCCTCACTTCTCCCTCCGACATCTCAGCCCTCAAGGCCTTCAAATCCGCCGTCAACCCCTCCTCCATACCCTCCTGGTCCTGCCTCGCCTCCTGGGACTTCGCCGCCGCCGACCCCTGCGCCTCCCCTCGCCGCACCCACTTCACGTGCGCCCTCACGTGCTCCCCCGACTCCACTCACATCACCCAGATCACCCTCGACCCCGTCGGCTACTCCGGCTCCCTCACCCCACTTGTCTCCCTACTCTCCCAACTCACCGCCCTCGACCTCGCCGACAACAATTTCTCTGGCCAAATTCCCTCCTCCATTTCCTCCCTCCTCAATCTCCGAACCCTCACTCTCCGATCCAACAAATTCTCCGGTTCTCTCCCTTCCTCCATTACCAAGCTCAAGTTTCTCGACTCTTTGGACATTTCGCGTAATTCTCTCTCCGGATTTCTCCCCAAAAGAATTGACTCCATGACCGGTTTGCGAAGGCTCGATCTGAGCTTCAACAAGCTGGCTGGTTCCATCCCCAAGCTTCCGCCGAACTTGTTTGAGCTCGCCATGAAGGGGAATTCGCTCTCCGGATCGATCTCAAAATCGTCGTTTGGTGAGTTGACTCAGTTGGAAGTCGTCGAACTCAGCGAGAACTCGCTCACCGGGACTTTGGAGAGCTGGTTCTTCTTGCTCCCTTCGCTCCAGCAGGTCGACCTGGCCAATAACAGCCTTACGCGTATCGAGATCTCGAGCCCTCCCGGATCGGCCAGCGACCTCGTGGCCGTCGATTTGGGGTTCAACAGAATCGGCGGTTACGCGCCCGCCAAATTCGCGGATTACCCGCTGCTGTCGTCGCTCTCGCTTCGGTACAACCGGCTACGTGGCAAGATCCCATTGGAGTACGGGCAGAAGAAGTCGTTGAGGAGGCTTTACTTGGACGGGAATTTCTTAATCGGACAACCGCCGGCTGGATTTTTTGGCGGTAAATCCGGGGTCTCCGGCAGCTTGGGGGATAATTGCCTGTGGGGATGTCCAGTTTCGTCGCAGCTGTGCCTGCCTTCGCAGAAACCAAGCGGGATATGCAAGCAAGCCTACGGTGGAAGGGGAAAACCAAGGTCTTGAAGCGTCCGATATTTTGTCAGTCAAATGTTTGATATACTTTTTATTTATTTATTTTATTTTTATTATTTTTCAATTATCTATAAAGTGAATAAAAAATGTAAAATGCTTTTTACAATGTAGCAAATTGTGTATTTTTTTTAAAAAATATTTGTACACAGTTCATAAGATGTATGCTTGAGAATATAAATATATTATTGATTCTCTGCTTTTTCCAGCAAAACAAATTGAAAAAAGATTTGTATCGATCCTCTAATCACTTAAACTGGAAGCTTAGCGCCAAAACTTGCTTTTTAGACTATATATAATACAACATTTTCACACGAAAACTATAGATCAGAGATTCAGAGTACATTATCTTTTCTCTTCTTACTTTTCTTTTTTTTTCCGTTGATATATGTTACACCATGGTCGAGAGATCGGCCACCCTCTTGAATAACAGACGCCAATGAGTGTTCACAGAGGATCTGTCGCTGGCGCCGAGGGAACGTCACTATCTACGCCGAGAGATCATGCGTGGGAAGGGGCGCCGGGCGCGATGACTCAGCGCCCGGAGGCCACGGCGCCGGGGTATCACTCTCGTCTCTCTCCACCAGCTGTCTTGTCAACTCGAGGAGGGGAGTGCTGATTCGACTACTACTGCAAAAGTCAGAGGGTCAGGCGGCAGATAGGAAGGATCAGCCGCATTCCCCGGGACAGTCATCATAAAAATCTACCTACTCTCATGCTTACCGAGGACAGAGGATGGCTTCCTCCTTGAGAACGGAGAATACACATTCACATGTAAAGGCCTATAAATAGAGCCAATAAAACCTAAAAAATGGGTTAGATGCCATTTCAATTACGAAAGAAAGAGAGCTTGTAACCAGTTAAAACATTAGTGCATGCACAAGTGGATTAGACAAAGAATTATTGCCGAACCACTATAAAATTATTGTCTCCTTTACATTATTTTTCAGTTTTTATCTTTGATTGAACCATGAGTATTGTTGGGAGAGATAATTACGAGTTGTCGGAAAAATACCGTCAACAATATACATAATGCATTGATGATGTTTTGTTCTTGACTGTGGTGGGGTCTTAAAATCACTACTCATGTGTGGACCAATCATGTGTGGACCAACCATATGCTAACCTTGGATGACTTAGAGCTTAATCAATACATTATCTTGACATTAACATATGATAAGCATGAGTGCCGACGACTCTTGTTGACTATTCAATTTGTTAGACAACATACATGGTCTGAAATATTGTGGGCCTCTTTCTAGAGTTTGTGAGCTTTTAAATTGAGGCCTGAATATTTTGATTAGGTACAAAAATTGGTACATAATATTGCTTATAAACAAGGTGATGAAGATGTTGACATCGATGGAAGGCCTTATTCACTTTATGGATTTAAGTTTTTAATTTGAGTTGAGATGTGACATTTTCTGAGAGTTTTTTACTGTAATAGAAAAAGTTAGATGTGACATTTTCTGAGAATTTTTTACTGTAGAAACCTAAAACTGAAAACTCAAATCGGTGAAATGAACGAGACCTAAGAGTTTGTTTAGGATATATACTCAAATTCAAATTTAAGTTTTGTTACAGTATTTTTTATCTCATAAAGAATTTAAATTTTAAAATTTTCTCTTTTACAAAGTTTCTACTAATAAATACAAATCATAATTTGAATATATATTCCAAATCTTAAGATTTTGATTCACGGATATTTTGTGGACGGGATGGGTATTCTGGTATCTTGAAAGTGTTGAAACTCTCCAATACTAACAATCTAGGTTAGTTACACTGCATAATGTATATTTATTCATTAAAAAAATTAAAAGTATATTTAATTCGTTAATTTAAATTTTTAATTTAAATTGAGATATAATTTTATATTATAATTTTTTATTATAATATAAAAATTAAATGTAATTATTTTAAAAAATTTTATATTTTAATAAAATATAAATTTTAAATTTAAATCGGTAAGAGGAAGAAACCTAAACATCTATCCAAAGATACTTGGGAGTTCGATTAGAGTCTCAAAAAGTGCGACTGAAACATTCAGGCATGATTGCTGTTGACGTTGTCCATTACATATTGTAGAGAATACTTTCCTACGCTTACGCGCTGTTATAGAACGTGGTGATGGCATTTCTCAACTAAACAATGAAAAGATTTTGGTTTTTTTGGAAAATGTGTTGTCGACCGAAAGCAGATTTATTTATTTTATTTATAGGGTTAATTTGACATTTTAATTTTAACAAAATGATCTTTAAACTCTCAAAATATTGATAATTAAGCCCATTTCGTTTGATTTTGTTACCTTTTAAACAGTTATGTACAAGTGACCAACAAGTTTACTCTTTTTCATCAAAAACACCAAAATACCCCATAATTCTATTTGAGCAAGAAGCACAAGTATTTTACGTTTTTTTATTCAGTATATTTGGGTTTTTTTGGGTGGTGGTCTTGGGTGACTGGAGTCGATGCTGGAGATCAACAAAGTGGATGAAGATGCTCATCGGAGAGGATAGGTTTGGGGTTGGGAGCTTCAGGGGGAGGCACGATGGACGGAGCCCGAAGGAAGCTAAACGGGAGGAAGTGGAGGTGGAAGAGTAGATCTGCAAAGGTTCCATGGAGAAGCTTTCCATTTGGCCGTGGATGGTGGCGACGACACTAGGTTCGAGACAGGAAGTATGGTAGCACCTTTAATCCCTTCCTTAACGCAGAGCCAAAAAATTGATCATCACCTCATTCAAATTTGGTTTCTTATTTGTGGGTTTTTTTTTGGATGTTTTTCGATAACTAAGGTCCCGTTCATTTCATCGATTTGAGTTTAGAATTCAAATTTTATTACAGTAAAAAGTTCTCAAAAACAGTCACATCTAACTTTTTTACTACAGTAAAAAACTCTCACATAAAATCACATCTCAACTCGAATCAGCGAACTAAACGGATCCTAAGGAAATTGAATGGGTGATGCTATTTACTTTTTTCTATGTTTAGATCAGCTCTGAAGTTGGTTTGAAGTGAAACTTGGTTTTTTTATTAGGATTTTTTTGTGTGGTTATCTTCGAGATGAGAGAAGGTTTGGGATTTGGGAAATTAAATGTGAGGGATTTGAAGGAGGTGGTGGTGGTGATGACGATTGTTGACGGTGAAATTTCGTCAACAGGATCACGCCGGGTCACCCCTTGGTATCTCGTAGGGTTACTGGCCTAATACTGGTTATATACTGAAAATAATGCTTGTGAAGTGTTTGAATAAGCTTTGTGTTGAAAGTAATATGAGTGTAATGCTTGAATGAGAGGACACACGAAATTTATAGTGGTTCACTCTGTTAATGAAGAGCTACATCCACTTGTGTATTGTATTTCCCTTGGACTCTTTTTGGATTACATAGAATCAGCTCTCTATTCTCTGATTACATATGAAAAATAGCCAAAATCCTCTCCCCTTTCCATTCGGGGCCTTGCCCCTTTTATAGCCCAGAGATTACTTCATGGGTGGTTTTTCTTGGTAGGGCCATCCACTTGAGTGGCCTACTAGCCTATGAACCCAGACCCATAGCCTATCACCACCTTTTTCACTGTTCACTCATCCAATTTATCCCATATTGCGGCTATGCACATCCCCCTTTAATCATCCACCGTCCATTAAAGGGTGGTTTATGGGCTTGTAATTAATGCCTGCATTACTGACATTCTTAAAACCCAGACGTAACTCCCTTGCCCACTCAAGTGCCTTTCTGAAAAAGTGGACCCATGTTTATACGGCCGGCTTCCTATGAGGCCTCTCCTCCTTGGAAAGGTCGGCCGTCTGGAGGCCTCTCCTCCTTGGAAGGGTCGACCGTCTAGAGGCCTCTCCTCCTTGGAGGAATCGGCCGTTCGGATGCCCCTTGGGGCTTTTGGCAGATGTAAGAATCTTCTTCATGGAGGCCTCTCCTCCTTGGAAGGGTCGGCCTCATGGATGCCCTTTGGGGCTCTTGGTAGGTTTAAGAACCTTCTTCATGGAGGCCTTTCCTCCTTGGAGGGGTCAGCCTCATGGATGCCCCTTGGGGCTCTTGGCAGGTTTAAGAATCTGCTTCTTAGAGGCCTCTCCTCCTAGAGGGGTCGGCCGTCTGGAGGCCTCTCCTCATTGGAAGGGTTGGCTATCTGGAGGCCTCTCCTCCAAGAGGAGTAGGCCGTTCGGATGCCCCTTGAGGCTTTTGGCAGATTTAAGAATCTTCTTCATGAAGGCCTTTCCTCCTTGGAGGGGTCGGCCTTATGGATGCCCCTTGGGGCTCTTGGCAGGGTTAAGAACCTTCTTCATGAAGGCCTCTCCTCCTTGGAGGGGTTGGCCTCATGGAAGGGGCTCTTAGCAGGTTTAAGAACCTTCTTCATGGAGGCCTCTCCTCCTTGGAGGGGTTGGCCTCATGGAAGGGGCTCTTAGCAGGTTTAAGAACCTTCTTCATGAAGGCCTCTCCTCCTTGGAGGGTTTGGCCTCATGGATGCCCTTTGGGGCTCTTGGCAGGTTTAAGAACCTTCTTCATGAAGGTCTTTCCTCCTTGGAGGGGTCGGCCTCATGGATGCCCCTTGGGGCTCTTGGCAGGTTTAAGAATCTGCTTATTGGAGGCCTCTCCTCCTTGGAAGGGTCGGCCGTCTAGAGGCTTCTCCTCCTTGGAGGAGTCGGCCGTTCGGATGCCCCTTGGGGATTTTGGCAGATTTAAGAATCTTCTTCATGGAGGCCTCTCCCCCTTGGAGGGGTCGGCCTCATGGAGGCCTCTCCTCCTTGGAGGTGTCGGCCGTTCGGATGCCCTTTGGGGTTCTTGGCAGGTTTAAGAACCTTCTTCATGGAGGCCTCTCCTGCTTGGAGGGGTCGGCCTCATGGATGCCTCTCCCCCTTAGAGGCGTTGGCCGTTCGGATGCCCCTTGGGGCTCTTGGCAGATTTAAGAACCTTATTCATGGAGGCCTTTCCTCCTTGGAGGCGTCGGCCTCATGGATGCCCCTTAGGGCTCTTGGCAGGTTTAAGAATCTGCTTCTTGGAGGCCTCTCTTCCTTGGAGGGGTTGGCTGTCTAGAGGCCTCTCCTCCTTGGAAGGGTCGGCCGTCTGGAGGCCTCTCCTCCTTGGAAGGGTAGGCCGTCTCTGACGTGGCAACGTATATTTTCCCACACAACAATGATGAGTGTGGAAGTGGGCAGGTTGGAGTAGCTCTTAATGTGAGGAAGGGGAATAGAGTGATTAGAGTAGTTTTTTTTTAATGTTTTTTATTTTTTATTTTTATTAAATTATAAATTATTGTCATTTTATTAAAATACCCTCTACAGTAGATCACATGTTTGACACATGAATGATTTTTGTTAAAAACTTGACGAAACAGAAAGGGCTTAATTGTTAATGTTTTAAGAGTTTGGGAATCATTTTACTAAAAGTTTAAAAAAATGGACTAAAATGTCACCTCCTAAAGAATTAAGGACCACCGTTGTAAATTACTTATTATTATCCTGTGCCGAGTGTAAGACCTAAAGCAGAGTTGAAACACGAATGAGCTGTTAATATTTTGTTTTGTTCCTGGTTCCGGTTTAATGGTCCTGGTCCAAAGCTCATGGCTTTGTTTGACTTTGAAACAGTTTTTAAAATAATAATGCTTCCAATTTTTACATTTCTGTTTGTCATTTAATATGTGTTGCTGTCTGCCGACTGGGATATTCTAGGCACTCTTAAAAGTTTTCACACGAGAATGCAAGATGAAGATTCATGTGGTCTGTCATTTGTTGACCTCTATGGCAGGATATCTATGTCTGTAATTACGCTTTTGATAATGTGAAAGAAAGGCCATTAAAAAAAAAAAAAGATCATTAGAGATGTTAAAGTTGTATTAAAAAGTAAATAGTATGTGATAATGTGAATAAGATAGAATCACATGAAAATATAAGAATTTACAG